AAAGTACGGGATTTGACTGGGACCCATACAGGATACCCGGCGGGCTAACTCATATGGGTCCCATATGGAAACCGCGGTCATGATCCGGCCGGATACCGTTGGTCTTCCCATACGGGACCCAGTTGGCAACCAGTATGGGCCCCGTACGGTACCCGTATGTCAATGTTGGCTGGGTAAATATACTTAATGTATACCAACTAAACATTTATCAGATACTTACTTTTATGTACAAAATTGATAATAAAATGACACCTCTAATATTTATTACTTTTTTTTAACAAAAAAAAATTATGTTTACTCTACTAGATTTTCAAATCAAAACTACATTTAACCCAAAACCTATTATACGGCCACCAAATTCTCTATTGCAAATAGAGAACTCAAATTATGGAATTCTAAACTTAATAACGACATCAAAACTACTGCTTCTTTCCACAAATTAAAAAAAAAAATTTTAAACAAAACTTCTTACTATTGACAATGAATTAAGTTTTTTCTAAATTTTTTTTTTTAACTTTATTTTAATCTTCTTTTTTATTATTTTCTGGTTTTTATTTTTTTTATTTATCTTTTTAGTTTCCCATATGCGAACAAACCACCTGGTTTGCTTTTTTTCTGTTCTTGTTATTATCAACTTAAACAGTGTAAAAAATAATTGTTAACCCTATTAATAATTATTGATTAACAATCAATAAAATTACTTTAACAAGTAGTTCTTTATTTTAAATCAGCTTTATTTCAAATCAGCTTTTATATTTAATCTTAATTTGTTTTGTTTTTTGTACACCTTCAGGTTTTTATTGTCCTTCATTAAACTGTATCATACTTTTTTTGTTTTTGTTAATTAAATAAAATATATATTTCAATTAATTTTTAACGGTATTATAAAATATATTTATCTTATAAAACAACTGCTTAAAATGTAAACATACGATGTAAACTATAGGCTTAGTGCTTAAAATGCTTTAAATGTAAACATAAGATGGTTAATGTAAACATACGAAACAACTGCTTAAAATGTAAACATACGATGTAAACTATAGGCTTAGTGATAAGACTATTTTTGTCTTCTTTTTGCACCGGCTATGTAAATATTTGTTTATACATTTGGGTATTGTAGCATTAATTAAACGGCGACATATATACATATTAAAAAAAAAAAAATTTGCCTTTTATAGTCCTGTACTAAGTCCTGTACTTTTATAGTTACTGTACTAAGTACTAGTGTCGGTAGATTTTTTTTTAAGTCAAAAACTAATACACTCTTGTTTGGATTTGTATCTAGTGACTCTTCTTTTATTTTTTCTTTTGCCTTTACAGCCATCTCTTAATCAATAATAAACTCCTCCTAAGAGTGTTCTTTTCTTCACCCTCTAAAAGACACATTTTGACATATATCTGATTGCGGATGGCAAAAATGAAAATTGAATGATATATTGAATATGTGTTGAAATACAAAAATTGAAAGTGGAGTGCAATCATTTTCATTGTAATTGCAAATATATTTCTCGTAAATTGTCGACATTCATAAAGTTCGAGGCAAATATTTTTTGTACTGGTTGTCTTTTCGGCTATAGTGGGATTGGTACGTTAGAAATAAGGGAATAAATCTTTGAAGATATTTGGCGTCTTCATCTTTACTTTTATTTCATGGAGCTGATTTGCTTCTGCGGTTTTCGATAGGTGTACCATCTGATTTTTACCTTGCTAAAATATTTTTTATTGTCCCATCATTATCATTATCATCGTCGTCATCATCATCATCATCATCATCATCATCATCATCATCATCATCATCATCATCATCATCATCATCATCATCATCATCATCATCATCATCATCATCATCATCATCAGGGATCTGCAATGTGTCTTTAAAGTAAGTTTTACAAATTTTAACATTTTCACATGTATCAGTTAGTTTATAGAAACGAGTATTTCCCCCACGGGAGTTATTGGATGCAGTAAACGTCCTGCGTTTTTCTTTTACATCAACAGAACCCAATACAAAGGTGTTTTTTAAATTCGAGTTCATGTTATAAAAGTTAGAAAAAATTTAATTATGGCGAGCAACTGTTATTTTACTGCTGCACTCTAGGTTGCAACCACAATCTCTGTTAATAAAATCTTTGGTTTATTTACTTTGCCCTTTGTTGTACATATCCTTCCCTTGTTGATTTTTTCTTTTTCCGAATATTTCTTTTGTGTTATTCTGGATGGGCATGTCGCTTACGACTATGTCTTTCTGTCTTCTTTTTTTTCTTAAAAAAGACTGTATTTTTTTTCATACTGCCTGGGAGAAGCTTTTGTCCTCTTTTACTTCTCCAACAAGATTAACATTTGAATCTGCAAGGAAAATGTAAAAATTATTTCCTAATAAGAAAAGATTTCCATACACAACAAATTAAAAATTCCTTGCATCAGCCTATTTATTTTAGACAATTAGTACATACCATCAAGCCCTGTTAATATGGTTATAGGTTATGCATTTTCTTCAACA